AAGACGCGATATGTTAACAGGCCCTAATTCATCCTTCATTTATTTTATCACAGGAGGTGCTTTATGGTCTGTTTGGGGGGAAAGTTCAGCTCTCCTAGTCCTAAATCATGTCAGCGTTCCCTAATGCTGCTGCTGCTGTCCCCTGACTCTCTGCTAAATTCATGGTGTTCATGAATGGTCAGGAGACTCATCTGAACTGAAACATATTGCCAACTAATTTGTATTTATTCATAAAAATTTCTAAGCATTTTAATGGTCTAATTCCATCTCTTGTCTATTCACAAGAGGTTGCCAGGTATGGTTTGTTTGGTGGGAATAGTTCTGCTCTCCCAGTACTAAACTGTGAGCGTTCCCTAATGCTGCTGCTGTCCTCTGACTTTCTGCTATTTCATGGTGCTCATGAAAGGTCAGAGGACTCCCTGAACAGAGCCATACCGCCAAATTTTAATTATCAACTTGAATGGCAATTTATTCAATACAATTCCTAATCATTTATTGTCATGTGTGTTCTTGACTTAATGGACCTGACAGAAATATAATAATGGACAGACACGTCTTCAACACAACACACATTCCTGGTGACTCCATTCAATTGTGTTTCCACACTCAAAATACTTGTAAAAACTGTGACTTTGTAACTTTAAGTGGTGAGCTGATATGCGACTGCGTCGTTTGCAGGATTGGAAGTGACAGATGATGATGAAGTATGTGCTATACAAGATCAGCACTGCATCAGTTGCACCAGATCCCATTCCCTCTGATAAATTCAGCTGTTTTTCTTTCAACACACAATGTAAAAACTGTGGAAAATGGTACCACTGCAGATCTGCTCCATCACACAAACCAGCACCCCAAGCTCAAAGTCGTGATTACCATGCACTGCAAACTGCAGTGCAGTTCAAAAACTCAGAATTCAACCGAGTGCATGAACTGAACACAACTCTAGATCCACCTGATGACACTTTCTATTGTGAAACAGTGGATGACATCACTCAGAAAGGTGAAGTATTCACAACATTGCATGTGAAACATGGGTCTGGCCAAATAAAACTAAAGGTGGACACAGGTGCCAAATGCAGCCTTATATCTGCCCAACAACTACACCTCATTCTACTCTCAGCTCACCTAAACATGGCTGAAAACGTAAAGCTCATTACATATGGTGGACAAACTACCAATACTGAGACCACTGCTTGGATTGCCAACAGTATAGCGGCGGGTCTTATACAGTTAGGACCAGATACAGTACAAAATCAAGAAACAGAAGTATGGGAATTCTGTGATCTATTTGACACAACAGTGCTTGGTTTCAGCATGGGGTTGTAGCAAACACAAGAAGATGAAGGTCAATAGTACTTTAATAAGCCTCACAGGAGATTCCAGGAACAGGTAAACGAAGAAAACACAACCTACACAGTGCCGGACCAGGAGCCAGGAGCGTAACAAGGCGCTGAGCGACTATTTCACACTGAAGCGCTGAGTGCTCTGTGTGTTTTACCGGACGCCGAGAGTTGAAGAATGTTCAACTTTGGGTAAAACGCAGCGCTCATCGCTGTCTTTTTACCCAGCTGTCCAATCACAGTGCAGGAGGGGCGGGGCTAATACCACACAGACCAACCGCCACATTCTGCTTGTACAACATCAACAGATGACAACAACAAGCATACTAACAGAACAAAATAATTTAAAACAAGAGCCAGAGCAAATACTGTGAGCAAATACGCCGCCTTACTGTGAGTGACAACAAATGAAACGTGACTGAAGACAAACAAACTAAAAGTCCATGAAAGCAACTAACTGAACATAAACGTGACACTTGGCAAACTGCCTCTATCACATGCAATCAGATGAGTCAGTGCTGACCACTGTATGTGCACCCAAGAAAATAACCAATGCAATGAAGGAGAAAGCCATGGCTGAGCTCGAGAGAATGACTAAACTGGGCATTATTACCCCTGAAACACATGCTAAAATCCTACGACTGACCCTGATAAGTGCACATTTCAGTTTGAACTGTTAAAGAAAGATGTGAATGGTCTCGGCGTGAGCTACAAGAGGCTGTTATATATAAATATATAAATGGGGCAAGGAACTGTTGATGCTGGAACTGTATTGTTACACACACACACACACACATATAATAACAACAATACAGTATATATGCACTCTTCAGAAAAGCTACTGATTATTGACACTCTAAAATATATAGTTTGAGACATGTATAAACTTAAATGGAATGAACAATAGAGTGTACAATATATATATATATATATATAGTTCCGCCATCGTGTCTCTAATGATTGGGGTGTGTGTGAGACGAGTTAGTTAGATTCTCCAATGATGCATGGTACTATGGCAGTTATTCAGCGGGTTACGTCATAAAAACACTGGGAAACACTCCCGTTTGTTGTTCTGGTTGTGAGTGTCCTCAATAAAGATATGAAAATATATAACTGTTGTGCTGTGTTTGTCCATGACTTTGATTTATGTAATTCAGGAAAAAAGAAAGAGTTCACTGCAACTATAGAGCAGCATCTGTGCGGGTTTCAGTGCCAGTGGAGCTTAAACATATATTCACTCACAAACCTATTAATAAATCATTTGAATTGTATTCACTGTAATCAATAATAATAATAATAATAATAATAATAAGACAATGGTCTGACCTCATTCATTAAAAATGTATACAGACAAACTGGCGAAAGTAGATCAATGTAAAGGCTACAAGTCAATTGCTATAAGCTATATTTAAAATGCTATATATGAATTTAATCCCATTTTTATGGTCTTTGCTCACATTTTGTATTTTCTACAACCTAACCAACTGATTCATAAGAGCAGCTGCATCTGAAGAAACAGATCATGAAAATGACCGATAACAGATTACAAAGATGACGAAAGGTGTTGAGATTTCAGAAGGAGAATTACCAGGATAAAAGCACAATACACTGTAAAAACAATTATAGTAAATTGTACAACGATTTACAAATAACTTTCTGTATTACAAAAGTATGTTTTTATTTTGTTTTTTGTGTGTGTGTTTACTCTAGAATTTCCAGCAAGTCCACAGAAAAAATAATGGGACGGCCTTTTTCTGGGAAAATGAAATAATGGTGACAACACAGAACTGTAAAAATGGCCAGGATTTTAAGAGTGAAGTCTGAAGATAAAATACTGCATTAAGATTGCAGATCATTGTGGCTGGGCACTTAATTACTTCTGATTACTGTCTTAATTACTGCTTACCGAGCACAGTTCACTGTATTACATAGAATTATTCAATAATTATTCACTTTTATGTCTAAACAGAACAGCAATCTTCACTATAATATTGTATTTATAGTACAGAAATAACTAACATTGATAAACAATAAAAGGGGTTGACTGATGGACATCACACTATTCCAGTTACTACTACTACTGTAAAACAAAATACAGTATGGAAAGCAGTAGTCAAGAATGTGAAAATTCACACTAAATGTTTAACTATATGACAATGTTTCATATGATAGACAATCACACACACACACAGTGACCGAATGGAGATGTGAAATATGAAGTGTTCAGTAAAAGCAGTGTGTAGAAGTGGCTCTGACACAAGGACAGCAGCTCAGTCTCTGTCAGCAAATGTTTATCTCAATGTTTTACTAATGACACTGTGTATCACATTTCAGTAAATGAGAGCGATTGGAGTGGGAAACATGATCCCTCATGAATCTGGCTGGCCAACTTGACTCTGTTCCAGTATATTTTACGGCATAATGCCCCTGTAATCACATTTGACCAATTGGACATTAGCTCTGTTTATGAGAAGTGAATATCGACTGGACCCTTACAAGCTAACTTTGGTAAATGTATATTGCACAGTCATTCTGCCTTTTCTAGACCCATAACACAATTTAGTCTCCATTTGCACATAAAGCCAATACTTTTCCTTAAGACCTTACACTGTATCACAAATGTAAATACATAATACAGATATCAATATAGTAGACATAAAAATGCATTAGCCTATTAAACACTTTGTAATCTCACATTTGATCAAACATTATATTTTCATTGTGATATTTTTGAGGTTCATGAAAACAACAATTCTATATTACAGTGTCCGGTTAAACTTTAAGGTGGCACAGTGTAATTACACAAATAAGTACTGAGCAATATTAATTAACAACATGTAATTACTATCGGTTAGGGTTTGCTTTAGGGTTAGTCTTGTAATTATGTGTGTAATAAAGTGATACCCACTGTGCATGCTATACATATTATATCTTAATATAATAACTTGCAATAGCAAAGACAACTAGATTGGTTGCTAGGTGTTTGTTTACTGCACTTGTTAACCTCTAGATGGGATTTGAGGAATCATTCATGTACCTTGCACAAATGATTATGGGACGAATTTTAATACTTAGGAATGATTAACAATAAAGTAAGCAAACAGCACGGACACTGACCTGTAATTAGAAGAAGCTCCTAAAAACAATAGCATGCTGTTCATTTATATTAGTTAGTCCATACTAATCTGATTACAGTGTAACATGAACTGTATAATGTAAAATGAAACATCTCAAAAGTCATATGTTTGATTGTTTGCCAGCAACAAAGCCTGACATGACGCGAGCGCATCAGGACGGGTGTTTGGTTTGAGTTGGATCTGGCTATAATGGGTCCATTGAAACCCACAGAGAAACAGTGCCATGCATTTTTAATCAGGCGGCTTCTGAGGTCGCTTTCCCCATTCTGAGGATGTGAATTATGAGCAACTGTGAGACCAGACCGTCAGAAACACAATGACATTACCTCACGACAGGAAGACAGCGAGTTCAATACATCGACCGGTGATTTTCACTCCCAATAATTGATGTAAGACAGAGCACCAGAACTGGGGGCTCGTACGGGATTGTGTGCTGAGTGAAAAAACCAGAACAGAAGCAAATCTCTGGGATTACAGTATATTCTCTGTTGGGCTGCCGCAGATAATTCCTTCATTGGACAGCATGAGGATGAGGGCATGGCTGAGTGTTGCGTGCGGGTTGATGAGCGTGTCCTGTGAGGCTGTGAGGAGTTGTGCAGAGATCCAGTGTGATGAAGATCAGCGATGCTGCACTCAGAACAACAGCATCACGACGGTCCACTGCTGCAAACTCCCCCTGCACGCTTTCCTCCACAACCTGGACTGGGTCGTCCGGAGGCTGTCGGGACTGCTGATCCTGCTGTTGCTCTTCGTGGTGGGTTACTTCATCCAGCGCGTGGTGTGTCCACGTCCCCGCCGTCAGACACACGAGGAGCCGTCTCTTCTACACGGACACGCGTCCCAGGACTCCCTCACAGGGGACTTCAGCTCGCCGGTGCTGCTGCTTCCCACATACGACGAGGTGAAATATCTGCCCACATATGAGGAGATCATGATGGAGGGCAATAGAGACGATCTGAGCTCGGAGGAAAGACGTACGACCTTGCAAACATCTAGAAGAGCCAGAAACTCTCTATAACTCATTGATTCTGGAACAGCTAATGCAATTATAATGTGTCCTGCTTGTCATTAGCAGCTTTTCAAGACGTTTCTACATTAAGGTTTGTCTCTTACAATGCGTTTATTGTAATAACCGTCTCTAGACAGCTCTATCGCATCCACACAAATATGCAAAAATGTGTTCGTAACTGATCTGAGCACATGTGCTTGTGTACAGTCTGCTGATTACAATTTTCATAAAGTTGCGGTGCTTGAAATGCCACATATTTTAAATGTATCCCCAATTTTTTTGTTTAAATTCAACAAACATTAAACCTAAAAAGCTGGCCCAATATCCTTTATCAAAACTCATGCTGGTCTTATTGTGCTTACTGTGCACGCTACAGGTATCAGACCCAATATAGAGAAGCACAGTTTATGAGACCATTGCTGTCAGATTTTAAACGTAATCCTGAAAGAAAGAAAAAGAATGCACATTGTATAAAGTTTACTCTATTCTTCTCCCTGTCTTCGGGAGAAATGGCTGAATTTACGTGCTGTAAATCCGACAGGCTCTGACTGCACACAGAAAACGCATTTAAAACTCATTTAAAACAAAATGCTTTTTACTTACATATATTTGAGAATCTGAAAATCCGATATTTTACAATATAGTTACAGTAACAAGTTACGAATATTTTGAATAAGAGACATTTATCCAATTTTGTGAGGCATCTGAAAACCCACAGACAGTCAGTATTTAACTAATGTTAGCAAGCTAGCTTAGACACTGTGGACGGTGCACAACAGTTGTGTATGCCTCATTGCTTGAACCAGCTAATACGGTGTCACTTGTCACTTAAGGTGTGGTTATGAGTTCATCAGATGACCGCCTCCACCCTCACCAGTCAAGGTCTTTCCCCTTCGCAGTGAGCACACTCCCAACAGGAGGCTGTTCAATCATTCAGGACTAATGTAAGTGGAGGGAGTTGGTCAGCGGATTTATCTGAAAGATTGCTAACTTGTAGAGCCTCTTCTGTATTATCAGCACAGGGAAGACACAAGTGTGATCAAATAAACTTTATTAACAAAGGATAAACAAGAATAACTAACACAACTACTAAGTGAACGCCATGAGCTATAAAGGAATAAAGCAAAACACAAGTGATTAAGTTAAGTGTGGCTATGGAAGAGTTACGTTATCTTATGGAAAGATAAACTGTTGTTTCTCTGAAAATAATGAGGTGAAGAACCTTATGCATCAAACAAATAAATGAAAGATTATTTGTAATTTACTAGCATCCGTTATATTACCTCTATATATTTTGCTATAATTTTTTTTACGTTTTTTTTTTACTTTACCTTAGGAATGTTTGCTATGCAGCTGCGCGTCGCGGGGAGCACACAAGATGAGGCCGCCACAATAATTAAAAAGCATCGATTAAGAACACATTTATACATATTTAACCAAAAACCATCAAAATGTATTTTCATAATGAATGACAGTTACAGTATGTTACAGTATGTTTGTGTTTGGAAATCCTGTGTTCATTGGTGGTTTTCCCGCCACTCCTTAGTTGCCATGGACACCTTAATCAGCCATTGTCTCGTTAGTCTTGTCAGCTGTGTCTTGTTTCTTTGATTAGGTCCCTGTGTATTTAAGCCCTGTGTTTTGTCCTGCTCAGTTGTCGGTCGTCGTTGATGTTGGCCTGGTTGTTTTTTGTGCCGTATGAGAGATTTCCTAGTATCTCGAGTATTTCTGTAAGTTTGATTAATAAAGACTGCTGCATATTAGAGATGGGCAAATGAAGCCTCATGAAGCACGGAGGCTTTCCCCTGATTGTTCCAGGAAAAGATTCAAAGCTTCGAGTGTCGAAAACAGCGCCATCTGTTGTTTAGTAAAAAAATAAAGCAGCCACAACCCTGTGAAAGAAGCTTCGTCAGACGAAGCAGCCACCACGAATTCCCTAGATAGTTTCATGTTATATGCACAAATAAAAGCTTAAAAGTGCGTCTGTGTGTGTGTGTGTGTGTTTAATTTTTTACTGTGATACAATAATTTACCCATTAAACTGTGGCATTTAATACCAGTATGAATATCAATATGATGTTATAGAAGAATAATGTACACATATATGAATTGCACATGGCAAATATTTAATTTTCCTGAAATAATTAATATTCTTCCTATTAATTATATGACTGGATATTTAAAAATGTAATTGGATAAGTCTGAATGTAAACTTATTCGTAAAGTAAGATCTTGACCAGGACAAGCTTTCTCTCGAGGCTCACACCGCTGCGTTTCTCGACCTGGTGTGCCTTACCTCCTTCCCCGAGTGTTTTTTCCCACACAAGCCATGTGCAATGCGGAGACGAAGGCACGCCTGCCCAGTGGGGGACCTCGAGAGAACTGAGGCGTTTGTGGAGTGGGTGTTGGCTACCTGTGAGTCCCAGTTCACCATCGGCCTTTCCAACAACGGTGAACTCGAGACCATTCCAGAGTCTGCCAAGATGGCCGCCGCCATGCCTGGGCTCTCTGACAAGATGACGACCGTGGTTGAAACAAGAATGCCAGCATCTGTTAACACCTCCACAACCACAATCCAACATGTCCAAAATGACGCCACCAGTGTTTTGTTTCCCATGTAAAAGGATGACAGAAGTGAGACAGCAGCCATCGATCCTGTATTATCAAGTTCAATGTACAGCTCCCATCCAGCAGACCTGAAATAAATGAACAATGCAGGCATATTGGACTAAAATGGGCCCAGAATCGTGCCAAAACTAAAATGTAAGTTTAGCAGGATCAGAAAGACAATACAAAGACCAAAAGAGGTACTTTTCAAAAACTCGTCAATAACGAGTTTGTCTCAAGGGAATGGGTATATTAAAATATTCTCCCTCAAGGGGGACCGTGTTTTGTTTCGCTTGCAGGTTATTTTGGACAAAGCAATAGCCACTCCGCACTGACAGAAGGCTTTAATGACTGGAAAAATGCAGATGTATGCTTGTGTGAACATGAGGGTTCGGATGGCTATAAGGCGGCAATGATTGATTTAGTTCACCGCCGTAATGCAGACAGATTCACCAAATACACAACAATTTCACAGTGAATTTGATCCTTTTCTGAAGGAACATATCGAAAGATATGGCAATGCTGGTCGAGGAAAGCTTTCATATCTTTCCTCAAATACTTGTTTGGAATTCATTGAACTTATGGGTAAGCAAGTGCTTTCTGAAATAATCCGTCGGATCAAAGAAGCGAAGTTTTTCTCTTTCAGCATCGATTCCACTCCAGATGTTTCGCACACTGACCAGGTCACATTCACTATGCGCTATGTGACACCTAGTGGTTGCATCGAGGAACGTTTTCTCACGTTATTGCCTATCCAGAGTCACACAGGACAGTTTGCCGGACAGTACTAGCTGTTTTAGACGACATGGGAATTAATATTGAAGACTGTAGAGGCCAATGCTACGACAACACGGCCAACATGTCAGGCACTTACAAAGGGTTACAAGCACGCATTAAAGAGATAAACCCACTAACTGAATGGATACCATGTGCTGCGCACACTCTAAATTTGGTGTGTGTTAATAGTGCAAATCACTATTTTGAGACAGAGAATTTTTTTTTCTTTTGTTCAGATGCTTTTTTACATTAGCATAAACATCACCTTCCCGTTGGCAGATAATAAAAGCAGGGCTAAAACCAAATGAAAATCAGAGGATAGAGAGTTGGAAAAGTCTGTCTGACATAAGATGGTCATCTCATGCGCAAGCAATCTAAGCTTTGAACCTGAACTATGCCAAAATTTAGGAGTCGCTTGTGAACATGGCAAATGATGCTCAGAGGAATATCCCTACTCATGTTGAAGCAAGAGCGCTTAACAGAAAAATGGAAAAGCTAGAGAATGCGTTTTTGTGGAATAAGGAACAAGCACTGCTCTTCAGGCAGTTGATTTGGATTTATGTAATGCTGTTGATTTGGTTGGTTCATTGAGGGGTTATGTGGCAAGTTTACGTGATTCATTTGACGCCTTTGAGAATGAGGCAAAAATATGTCTCCAACAGTGTTGCAACAGTAGACAATGGACACACAGAGACAAAGAAAAAAAAACAGAAACATGCAGATGAACCTACAGAACACGAGACAGCTGGACAGTCCACTCAGAAGTACTTCAGAACAGCTGTGTTCATCACCGTAATTGACTGACTTAGAGTCGGCAAATAAGAGTCATATCGAACTCCTCAAGAGACAATTGGATTATTGAATCAAATTCAATCCATTCCCCAGCAAGGTCTTTGTGCATCCACAGCTAAGCTCCAAGAGAAATATTTTGATCTGGAGAAAGATTTTGTCAATGAAGTATGCCAGTGTTGTGTTCTTCTGTGCATATCAGCCAGTAGGTGACGGTATGGTTCGTGTTATGTGTATGTTGAGAACAAAAGAGTTAGAGAGTCTGAAGCGTTACACCTGCTGCTGCTTGCGCTGTACTGTTATGCTATTTGGTTAATTAAAGAATTCTTTATTTTAGAGCGCCTCTTCATTGCTTCTTACCAAGGACATAAATTGGCAACGAGGTACTTTATTCTGGAAGATGGCAGCTGTTTCTACTTTTCCCACGCCATTTTTGCCATGTCCTGGAGAACCAGCTATACTATTTTGACACGTGACTACGGATGAAGGGACTTCTGGAGGTGCATGGCTGGTCGAGCGCAAATGAGCACTGCTTCTACATTGTATTGGGACTGAAGGCCAGAGATTGTTTTATACCTTGCCGAATCAAGGTGATTCAATGGAAGATGCGATTGCGGCCTTGAAAGCGCACTTTGCTCCTCGACGGAACATAGTGGCTGAGCGCCATGCTTTCAAGAAATGTGTTCAGGCACCAGGAGAAACTGTAATTCAGTACGTAGCTGCCCGACTTAGCGGCTACTTGTGACTTTGCACCTACACTGGACGAAATGTTGCTTGATCAGTTGGTGGAGAATGTGTCCAGTCATCGGATTCGTGAGAGATCTTTTGGAATCTGAATTGACTCTTGAAAAAGCCATTACTATTGCCTCCCAAACAGAAGCTGCTAGTGAACAAGCTCAATTATTATCAAGTACTCGTTCAGTTCCTGTGCAAGTGATACATGCAAAGCCTCCACCTGGACTTCACCACCATCTTCATCTACTGCATGCTTCGTCCTCCCGTGCATTCTATCGTAGTGGATCTAAGAAACACCTCGCGAATGACAGTAGTTGGCCTGCTGAATCGGCACAGTGTAATAACTGTCAAAAGATGGTACATTATTCACGGGTGTGTCGTTTGGGACAAGCTTGCTCGGTGTGTGAAATTGACTTGCCTGAAGTTCAGATCCTTTATATGCATGACTCACTAACTGATAAAATTCAGTGCACTGCTGTCATTGCGACCGCAACTTTGCTGTACCTATCAAGCTTACAGTGGATTCTGGATCATCTGTTTCTATCTTGCCAAAAATTGTGTATGATACACACTTCAAGAAAGATGCTTTGCTGCCTCCTTCATTGAAACTGGTGACGCATTCTCGTGCTCCGATTTAACAAAAAGGTTAAAGGAAAGAATTAAGCAAGACAAATATGTAAAGAATATAAAGAATGTATACAGCGGATACAGTATTTCTGTAAGATAGTCAATACCATAAGGATGAAGAGAGGACGTGGGCGGCGCCAAAGAAAAGAAAGTAACAAAACCAAAGGAATTCTGACTTTTATATAAATAACCTCTAACCCTAACTAAGAAAAATAAAAAAATCTTCAGCGTCCGTGACGCCCTACCTTATCTTCACTACTCCCAAAACCAAAAGTACAAGGAGTGGCACTAACCTAATGTACTAGACAACCCGAAACCCCTACATGTTGCAGTGTATGTCACCTGACATTCTTACCTGTCCGCCTCTTTCAGGACTAGTAACATAAAGTGGGCACACTGTAAATAGCTCATGTTACATAAAACAAAAGAAACTTATACAAGAAGAATTTACACACACACTCGAATCAAGCAACACAAACAAAAAGGGTTACATCAATAACAGCAGGATAATTTGTGCAAGATATCAACACAAAAGCCGCGTGGGGGAGAGAAACGTCTTGCGTTCTCTTTTATCTGAGGTGGTCTTTCCCCACGCAACACAGGGACGTAACATGTCATCAACTCCTGTGCTGTGATTGTCTACGTTGAGTAAAGATTTCTCCAGCTGTCACTCCAATGCTCTGGACACTCCGCCGCTTACCTTTGTCTTTTAGAGACGCAGTCAGTCACAGAAAAAGTCGGTGCTATTCGTATGTGCGTGGATCTGTTGCCATTACACGATCTGACTGCCTTCATTACTCACAAAGGATTTTTTTCTTCATTACTCACTGGTGCCGAGGCATTGATTGTCTGGTTTAAGAGCACATCCAGACCTGTCAAATGTGTCCGTCCTCTGACAAAACTGCCAACAACTCTGCTGCAGCCAATGCTTTTTCCATCTGTACCGTGGAACAAGGTAGCTATAGATGTGGAGGGCCCATTTGAAACCGCTGTATGGGACTGTTGTTATGCGCTGACATTGATTGACTATCACAGTAAGTGGCTTTCACCGCTTCCATCACTACTCAAAATGTTATCACCTTCTTGTCATCTGTGTTTAGTAGATACGGAAATCCACGTACTATCCTGTTTAATAACGGGAGCCAATTCATGTCAGCAGACTTTTTGACACATACATCTTTGTACCACCCTGGCGCTCGTAAAGAATAGGTTGAGATCAAACAATGCGCAAGCAGAGATTAAATAACCTCACTCAAATGCCCATCTAGAGTGAAATTCTTTGTCAGATAGATTTCAGGAGTACAATCTCTCCTGAGCCTAGGGGCCTGTGTAGACCTTAGTCCGCCCCTGATAGCGGTGCATTATGGGTTTGAATGAGTGCACTCAATAACGTCCACTATGGTTTTGGACACACCTACAAATGGCTGTCCCCTCAAATAGTGCCCTATTTAACCCTCTGGGGTCGGCAAACGCGCCGGCACGTTTGCTCGATTTTTTTTCACATAGCAGTAAAACAGACTTAAAATATTCCGTCATTTATGAATACAGACTTAAGAAATATGAAAAAATAAATACTTTTTTATGTGTCCAGTTCACAATCGAAACAAAATATTGAGCTTTTGTAAAATAAAGAAAATAAACAGGGTATGCTTTCTGGCTTTATTTACCTTTAGAAGTGCTGGTTTAGTTTCACTTCGAGAAGCAACGGATCCGGATCTGTAAACCGCTAAAAGACTGTTTAAATATGAATCGCATGTCTGTGTGTGAATGAATGAACGGCACACACGCGCTCTGTTGTTTACTACAGCTGTACTGTGCCGTTCATTCACACTCGCACCTACATTAGTAAACATGTTATTTTTACATGAACACATCTACTAGTTTAGTTTTGACCAAACTATATTGCTATACTGAGATGAGTATAAATCGACTGAAATATGTTGAAATAAAATATCTTTGTATAAGCAACGTATTAAACTGCAAATTAACATTTATATGCTAATCATACACACGATATGTTACAGACGAAATATGAATGTTTAGACAAGATTTCGTTGATTAGTTTTGGATAGATTATAAAGTTTTTATTGTAAAAAAGACTACTGTCACATCAAATAAGCTTTAGTTTGCCAATTTCTGCTCATATGTTAAAATATATAGTAGCCTATGGGATGTTTTGTCAAAAAATAAAGTAGTTATATTGAATTATCAACTAAGATGTTATTATAGTGTTTGTTCCAATATTCAAACTAATGAATCCTTAACTTTGAAATATGTATGATAAAATATATACTTTTTACAAAGAAAGATTACACTTGAAATATTGTTAAAATTTTAATTGTTGTTGTAATTGTAACTTTTTTAATAAAATAGCAAAAAATATATTTACGAGCTAGATGTAAACAAAGTCTTAATCAAAGTCTCAATATAAGCCGTCTCATTTAATTATTTTTTTGTGTGTTTTATTAGTGACAATTTTGGGGAGAGGATACGCATTCCAAAACTTTCTGAAAATACAGTATGAGAATTAACTGCACAATTACTAGAAATGTTTATACAATTTGCATGCATACAAAATTTGTGGAAAAAGACACATTTTTTTCAAGATGTTTCCAACTCTAACTTTGAACCAATTCTGTAGAAAATATATATATAGACACAAGAACCAGACAAGCTCTCTGCACAGAAGCTATGACCAGCTTCATCTCCAGGCTGGTGTGATGAATCGCTCTTTAAGCAGAAGAGCTGGATGAATATTTGAATGCTTCTGATCCCGATCTGAACTCTGACTTGTGATGCTGCCTGAATCATAATCACACAGTGTTCGTTGGGTGGCCAGAGGAGAACTGAACGACTGATCCTGGGTTCTCCCAAGGGTTTTTCTCCATTCTGTCACCTGATGGAGTTTGGGTTCTTGCCACTGTCGCCTCTGGCTTGCATAGCAGGGACACTTAATATTCAACAATATTACTGACTGTACTGACACTATTGAGAACTGAACTGAGCTGGACAATGACATCACTGTTTTGATGCTTTATAGATTAAATTAACTAAATTAATAATAGATGATCTTTACAACGGAACTGAATCAACAAGGAAGTCAGAAAGGAACTAAAAATCTATTATCCCATTTTATCATCATATTCTGGTTGGCGTAAAAATAAATCAAAAATCTTAGTATGCTATTAGGCAGAATAGGCTCATGCCTTTGTCTTAGTTTACCAAACATCTTTTGATGGTTAACTCTGTCAGAAGCCTTAGAGGGGTCAATAAAGCCAATTACAACAGATGAATTTAGTCTTTTATACAGCTCTATTTCTTTCAGTGCATATATACACAAATCAGTACTATGCTGTACACATGATTCTTTCCAAAAGTTTTTATAACACATTAGCTAGTGCAATTGGTCTGTAATTATCCAAACTTTTCACTTTGCTGGCTTTATTCTTGATAACTGGCACTAAAGCTACCGACAACACAGACTCTGGCAACAGCCCATGTTTTCTCAAGCCAGTAAAGAACCTTTAAATGTTCAGCAGGAGTTTGATCAAAGCCACCAACACTCCTGTCTGTGAGCTGAATTATTGCTCGTTAAACTTCATTAGTTTGGTCCAGTCTAGTTTTACCAAGCCGGCCCTCTTAAACTCTTAATTCATCTCAGGCAGACTTTCCATATCATCAACAGTCATACAAATGGTCCATGATCAGATGTAGATGCCCCATAGAGAACTGTCACTGATTGTAGAGTAGAGTGAGCATCAGCAGCACTAATGCACTGGTCAACTTATGGTCAATTGACTGGATAATATTAAGTTGTTATCAACACTAAAATGCAAGAAAACATTGAAGATTTATCTGTAAGATCCTTATTCCTATCCCCAAGTCGTCACTTCTTCTTTTCCTTTTAATGGCGGTTGGCAAACCCACTAGATGGCGCCACCTACTGCACGACCCCTGCGTGACAGCAGACGTAAAATAAAGGATAGCTGATACGCATCAGATAAAAAAATTACGGCTCAGGACATCCCTACTTTTTCTACTTTCACTGATACAATGTGCATGGAATAATTTTCTGGATTATATTTAGATTTTCACAATTTGAAATTTATTTCAAATCTGCATTTATTGCATAAACATAAATCAAACTTATGTTATACAAAAACAACTTTTTACAAAATCTTCATGAGATAATAAGATATAAATAACAGCCGAGCGAGACATGATGCCTGTTAATAGGCTGATGTGTAGTTTTCAGGTGCTGAGATATGAACTCATAACAGTGAGTGTTAAAGAGTCTGAGTCTGTAGATCAGTAATGGCTAGCCGACTGAGATCCAGACCTCAGTTTACCTGAACTATGCTAGAGGTGTGTGTGTGTCTAGCGGCGAACAGACACACTGCTTCTGACCGATGAGCTGGCTGCTCTTTCCCGCTCTTTAGCAAACTCCATTTCAATTTTAGCCTGGATCTTCTCCCAGTCCACTTCCACCTGAGCACAAGCAGGAATGAAGAAACATTACAACATTACAACATAAAACACAATAAAAGCCTGAGTTCTCTGTGAAGACTTCAATGTGTGTGTGTGTGTGTGTGTGTGTGTGTGTGTGTGTGTGTGTGTGTGTGTGTGTGTGTGTGTGTGTGTGTGTGTGTGTGTGTGTGTGAGAGAGTGTATGTGTGTGTGTGTGTGTGTGTGTGTGTGAGAGTTTAAGTGTGTGTGTGTGTGTGTGAGTGTGTGTGTGTGTGAGTGTGTGTGTGAGAGAGTGTGTGTGTGTGTGTGTGTGTGTGTGTGAGAGTTTAAGTGTGTGTGTGAGAGTTTAAGTGTGTGTGTGTGTGAGTGTGTGAGTGTGTGTGTGTGTGAGTGTGTGAGTGTGTGTGAATAGTGCTACAGATAACAGCATGCAGGTGAACATACTCCCTCAGAGTACTGCAGGAATCTCTTGTTGGTTTCCTGTTTGCTGAAGTCCTCCAGGAACTTCCGTCTGTGAGCGAGGACCGTGTCCACGTGAGTTTTGTACTTTACTGCCAACTCCAGAGCCCTGTGAAGAGAGACATGCATGAGCACGACAACACACACACACGGACCTAGGGTTGGGAATCGAAAATCGACTAAATTCTGGAATCTAATATTTGAGGTTAGGAATTGGATACTTGTTACAAAACGCACTCACAGAAAAATGTTAATGTGATTTTAAACCATTCAAGTGCGAGACGACTCTGTTTTGTGTGCTGCAGGCACATGTGTAACAGTGTATTGGATCCGTGCAGCTCTTAAAGTGACAGCAGCCTAATATTCCTGCTGCCGTTTCTATAATAACACTAATCAAACAACAAAAGACAAAGAGAAAATTCACTCGTTCTTGACTGAATATCTTTTGTAACTATATTTGTAAAGTATATTTTATTTATAAAGTGCAGTGTTATTTTACATTTGATTAGTTTGTGTACATGAATACCTGAAAATCTTAAAACATGTCTATTGTCTTTAAAGGTGCATTGCGCAACTTTTCATGTTAAAAATACCTGTTTTTCTATCCTATACATGCTTAAAGAACTGCCTGATGGGCTGAATGAGCCCTTCTCTGCGCACTGAGATTGCCTCTATAATCCTGTACAGTAAAATATATAAGAGGGATTCGGGCTCGAATTTGAGACTGGGCGTGACGTCATGCGCGTTCACGCTCACCAGGCTATGTCTCGCAGGTTTGTGTATTCGCCGGCGCCGCCATTCTCCGCATTAAAGCTAGAAGATGGATCCAAAGAGACCGGCTCGTAGTCTATTCCAAACCCCAACGCAAACTCCACGTAAAGTAAAGAAAAGAAAAATGTTGTCTAGTGCCACCAAAAGGTCCAAATTGGAGTCAGACAGGCGTCAGAGTAAGACGAGAGTCAACCTTGGGAAGGCATCCAACAAATGGAGAGATCTCCGGTCTGCTCTTGGTCTCAAACGGGATCCTCATTTGGCTTTTTTCTTGATAAAACGGTAAGATATAGCCCAGTCTCTAATGTTTGATACGGCCAATCTATGTATGACAACAAATGACGATTTGTAAAATGTGTAATGCTTTAGCGTAAGCTAGATACATGTACAATCAGAATTGGTTTTACTACCAGTGAACAGTTTCATAAAATAGGAATTGTGTTCGGAAGAGTAGTACAACATGAAACATAAAACATATCCAATAAAAGATGCGTGTGGTCCTGCATACAACTCTGGTTGCAGTTTCGCTTGTCGCCAGAGGGGGCGAAGTTCTGCAAAAACTCAGAGACTTGCGTTTTGCACCTTTAATAATGCTTGAAATTTAAATTAGTTAAGTCTAGTTGATTTTCTAATGTATTTTTAAACCACAGGCAAATGTTCCTTGTGTGAGTGATCTTTACGCTGCCTTCACACTGGCAGTTGAAATCAGCTCCGTAATACGCAATACGCCCCCAACGGACGTCGTACTACACAGTGAAAAGCGTCGGAAGCGGGTAGAACAAAAATGGCGGAGAGATTAGAAAGTTTGATTCTGTCAGTTCTGTATGATCTCTCTGATGAGGGTTATAGAGATATTAATAGGAAGGCTGCTGCGTGAGGAAAGTTGCTCAGGACGTTGACATGTCAGGTCGGCTAAAAAATGTGATATAGTGGTATAATTTATACCACTATATCACATTTAGTTCGATGTCTGACAACAATTTAATTGTATTAACTGCCCTAAGAACGTTAGCAAATCATGAAAATAAAAAAATTACATGACAACTGAACTTTTAATAAAATAAATAATGATTTTATAACGATAAGAATTCAGGTTTGTTTATCAGTATCATAGCAACGATAGCTTCCGCTGGAATTGTCGGATAGGAACCATCCGTAGCTTTTCGCAAGAGTTCAATTTTTTGAACGCATCCGGATGACCAACGGACACGATTTTCTTCGCACCGCACTCGGTCGGACCCGTTTCGGACCCATTCGCATGCGGTCTGCGAATCTCCATAGGAAATGAATGACTTCCGGTCGTTTCGGAGCTGTATCGGAGCAGATTTCAACTGCCAGGCGGCGTTAGCCTGTTATTTGTAGTCAATGAGACTAAATGTGAATGATATCCAAGTTATTTTATTTTTTTACCTTATTGGAATCGAAATAAGGAATCGATAAGAATCGGAATCGATAAGCAGAATCGAAATCGGAATCGTTAAAATTCACAAGATTCCCAACCCTACACGGAGTGGACGCGTATCAGTGGCGGCGTGCACCTGTCCCAGTTGTAGAGGTTGATGTGGATCTGGATGGCGTGATACGTGAGGTTGGCCTGCAGAAGACTGGCCTCGGCCTCCTGCACGTGTCCGCTGAACAGCAGGATGTGTGCGAGACACGAGTCCTTCGACGGCAGATCCTTTATGAAGTTGATGTACTGCACCTTATCAATCTAGTAGAGACAGAGACGAGTGTTAAAGAGCCTCTGATGTGAGACGTTCTCCCACAGTAGTGTGCAGATTCACCTCTCCAATGGCTGCATACGCCACTTCTGCTGTGCTCAGCTCCCGATTGGCCATCGCCAGACCTGCCAGACACGACCAGAGCACCTGATCCTGAGAGAGAGAACAGCGTCAGGCACATCCAGGGCTGCAACTCTACACTTCAGCTCTGATGATAGTCACACTCACTCACAGATGAACCATCACTGAACTTACTTCAGCTGGACTATTACACTATTTTCTTCTAGATCTGCTGTACAGCAGAAACAAACTTTGTTGCATTATTTTCCTGTTATCACTGTAAATGTATTGTAATCTGTATTGTAAATTGTAAAAAACGCTATATAAATGAAGGTGACTTGATAGTGTTCTGCTGGTAAATTAGCATAAAACAGCCAGTGGAGAGAGTTTGTCAGCTAAATTAACAGATAAATTCATTAGTGCTCAGTCAGAAGCTTGGAATAATAATTTTTTTTATGATCCTTCAGAAATTATTCTAATATGCTGATTTGCTGCTCCTTTATTAATAATGGTTATTATATCAAAACTGCTTCATATTTTTGTGGAAATCACAATGCAATTTTCAGGATTCTTTGATGAATAGAACATTCTAGATAACAACCTTTATTTGAAACAGAAATGTTTTGTAACATAAGTCACTTTTTTAAGATCACAGTTCCCTTTCGAGGTAAAAGACGCTTGCGCTGTGTCAAAAGACGACACTTGGGTTTGAAGCCTGTATGGAACAGTTTCGATTAGTGTTGCGTCATGACGTCACTCGCATGTGACGGCGATGCGGATGCGGAAGCTATTAAAGGACAGCGGATCATAACACCGTCAGCTTCTGGTATTCAGCAAGCATTCCATGTTGCCTTGTCTGTCTTATTTTGTGTTGTTTTTCAGTTTACACAAGCAGATATTGTTATAATGGCGAGTAAAAAGATTTTCAGACAGTGTGTCCCCTTGCCCGCGTTATTTGAGCAAGGGTGACACACACTCGCTCTGTGTCATGTGTTTGGGAGTGGAGCATGCACAGGCAGTGCTTGAGGGTGCTGTCTGTGCAAACTGTGATCTGCTGCCCCTCAGAACGCTCCGCTCCCGCCTGGCCCTGTTCGGTGAGACAGGCCAGGCTTGCACTCCCCGTGGCTCGGGACCCGCGTCTGCCGAGGCGGCTTGGCATCTTCAATCATGGGGTTCGTAGATGGAGCTGTTTGACGATGATGGCTTCGGCCCTTTCTCAACATTCAGCGGCCAGCTCTGTCGGTCCCGTTAAGGAGTCGGAAGCTTGCTCTGCGGCTTCTTCCGCCCAGGACGAGGACCCGATGCTTGAATTATCTGGATCCAAGGATTTAAATATTTTGGGCATCGAGGCAGGAGAATTTGAGGATTTGGCACCTCATTCTCCTGCCTTCGAGGAGCTGCTGGAGGTTGTGACCAGAGCAGTGGCCAAATTAAACATTGATTGGCCATCAGAGAAGCAGGAAACGTTGAAAAAAAGTAAACTAGATTAACATTTCCCAGCAGGCTCGGTCACAGCCTTTAGCCAGAGCCTCCCGTTTTTCACTGATCTCCACACTGAGGTGTCGAGATCATGGAACAAGCCATTCTCATCACGATTATCGAGCCAAAATGTCCATATATATTTATATAAGTCTATTTTGGGTTCGAAAGAGAATGGCTATAGGGTGTTGCCGCGGGTGGAAGAGACACTGGCATCGTATCTTTCACCTGACGCTGCGTCATCCCTTAAGGCTCCGGCGCTGATTCAAATTCAAGATGTTAACCATACCTATTATCGTGAGTCAAATCAGGTCCGAGGACTGGTTTGTCACGATGGATCTGAAAGACGCTTACTTCCATATATCCATCCTTCCCCATCACAGAAGAGTCCTGAGGTTCGCCTTTGGGGGAAAGGCGTACCAATATCGGGTTCTTCTATATGGCCTAGCATTGTCCCCTCGCACCTTCGTGAAATGCATGGATGCTGCTCTAGCTCCACTGAGACTTCAGGGCATTTGGATCCTCAATTATATCGACGACTGGCTCATTCTAGCACAGTCAGAGGAGATGGCGGTTCAGCATCGAGATGGCCCCCTCAGATGAGAGTTGGGAGGTCTCGTTCTACGCCATCTGAGGTGTTTGGGGCTGAGACTCTATGTCAAAAAGAGTTCACTAATTCCTCAACAGAGAACTACATCTCTGGGGATGGTATGGGACACAGTTACGATGCGGGCACAGTTGTCTCCTGCTCGTATAAACACCATCTTGACTACAGTCACCAGTTTCAAGCTAGGCCAGGCCATAACTGTCAAACACTTTTTTTAAAGGGTTCTGGGGCTCCTGGCAGCAGCATCCAACGTAATACCTTTTGGCCGGCTGTACATGAGGCCACTACAGTGGTGGCTCAGGACCAGAGGGTTTTTCCAGAGCGGGAACCTGCCTTCGTCCTTTGCTCATCTGGAAGAAACCATGGTTCCTGTCCCAGGGCCCTGTGTTGGGAGCACCGTGTCAGAGAAAGATAGTGACTATGGATGCGTCCCTCACAGGCTGGGGAGTGGTCATGGAGGGCCGCTACACCAGGGGTCTTTGGAAGAACTTCATGTTTCATGGCACATCAATTCCCTGGAGATGTTGGCAGTGTTTCTGGCTCTGAGACACTTCCTTCCGGACCTCAGAGGCCATCATGTTCTAGTTTGAACAGACAATATGTCGGTGGTCTCATATATAAATCGGCAGGGGGGCCTGAGATTGCGCCCTCTATGCAGACTGGTGCATCAGGTTCTTCAGTGGTCCCAGGGCAAACTACTCTCACTCAGAGCAATGTTTATTCCCGGGGACAAAAACGTGGGGGCAGACATCCTGTCGAGGCAGGGGCTGAGGCCCGGGGAATGGAGACTCAACCCCGAGACGGTGGAGTTGATATGGAGGAAGTTCGGCCAGGCGGAAGTGGATCTTTTCGCCTTTCACGAGACCACACATTGTCTGCTTTGGGTTTCCCACACGGATCCAGCACCCCTAGGGTTGGTCAGACATTGTACGTATTTCCCCCGATTGCTCTGCTCCTAGGGGTTCTAGAACTCAATACACCACCCTCAGCTAGAGCTGTGGAAGCTGTGGGTCTGGCCCCTGAGGGGGACTAACTCGTAAATGCTGGTCTCTCAACTGAGGTTGTTGAGACCATTCTAAACTTTAGAGCCCCCTCCACGAGGAAACTTAATGCCTTAAAATGGAATGTTTTCAATTTATGGTGCAGAGATCATCAGCTGGACCCAGTTAACTGCCCAGTGGCTTCAGTACTGGAGTTCCTCCAAGGTCGCTTCTCTGACGGGCTCTCCCTGTCCACGCTTAAGGTCTATGTGGCGGCCATAGCTGCACCTAAGAAGTGTTCCCCTGCCTCTAAACATACTATTAGCAGGTGGATACTAGAGGCTATTTCCTCAGCGTATGAGGTGCACAGTTTGCCTTCGCCTCTCCTGATACGAGCCCACTTGACTAGAGGAGTGGCATCCTCTAAGGCCCTGCTAGCAGGGGTCTTCCTTCAAGAGGTCTGTAGTGCCGCCGGCTGGGCCTCCCCACACACCTTCATAAGATACTATAGCCTGGATCTGCCCTCTACACCGGGTTCACAAGTTCTCACATCTTGAGTTGTGCCAGATTGCTTCACACAAGGACAGACACTAGTCAGTGTGGCACAGTAGGTATTTCGTTCCCCAAAGTGTCGTCTTTCGACGCAGCGCAAGCTCCCTCGAAAGGGAACATCTCGGGTTACGACAACCCTCGTTCCCTGAGAAGTGAACAAGACGCTGCCTCTCTTTGCCACACTTCCTGCGTGGCTGATAATGACTTGCTTTGACCTGTAAGAAGCTGACGCTGTTATGATCCGGTGTCCTTTTATAGCGGTGGCGTGACGCAACACCAAACGAGATTGAACTACTTCCATTCAGAATTCAGACGCAGGCGTTCCCCAAAGTGTCGTCTTTCGATGCAGCGCCTCGTTCCCTGAGGGTTACAGTTGTAAACCGAGACGTTTCCACAAACATATGAAGCAGCTCAACTGTTTTCAACACTGATAATAATCATAAATGTATTTTGAGCATCAGATCATCATATTAGAATGATTTGTAAAGGATCATGTGACACTGAAGACCGGAGTAATGATGCTGGAAATTTAGCTTTGATCACAGGAATAAATTACACTTTACTATATATTCACATAGAAAACATCTGATTTACACTGTAATAATATGTCACTATTTTTACTGTATTTTTTATTAAATAAATGCAGCCCTGGTGAGCAGAAGAGACTCTTTCAGAAACATTAATAAATCTTAATTATTCCAAACGTTTAAACCATTAGTGTAGGTATTACAAACTAACAATGACCAGTTCTCTAACTTATATTAATAAATTATGTTCATGTTAATTTCTATACTAATACATTTTTAACATAACTTAGCTTAATAAATGCTGTAAAATTTTTTTTTACTTTTGTAACAAATTGAACTTTATTGTAAAGTGTCATCAACTAAGCATTTTATTCCACGGCCATTTAATGTTTAAGCTTTATTTTATTTTTATTAGGGTGTGACTCAACCATATTGTGATGTCACAAGCACAGTGTTATTGAGTTCCTGACAGAACAACCGCTGCCGTCTACAACAACACTGCCCTCTACTGCTGTTACACATAGAGACAGAGAAACATACCTCCTCCTCGGAAGCACAGAGACGAGAGGAGAAATGACAACCGTAAGAGAGACAGCAACACAACTCACATAAACCCATTTTATTATTAATTAAAACACTATTTAGTATGTTATTGATCTCTTTTCCTTGTGGAAACACAGCTGGCTGTAGCTGATTTTAGATTTTACTGTCCACACACACACACACACACACACACACACATGCTATGACACTGTAGGCTCACAGGAATTAATTCCTTTAGTCAGTTATTCTGTTGAGCACCATGACAGTAAAACCAAAATTGTTTTCTGAAATGATGAAAACCAGAGCAAGAAACTGCTTTTTTCTTTTTTTTTTTATAAAAAATAATAATAGCCAATCAAAAAGTATATTTGATATAAAAAGTTAGTATTTTCAAAACAAGAAAAGGAAATTTAGCATTCATAAGTTTAATAATCAAGAGAAACAAAAGCGGTCCAAGAACAGATCCTTGAGGTACACTAGGGCTGGGTAAAAAAAAATTAATCTATTTTAATTTTTATGATAAAATTATTCGGTCTTTTAATCTATGCTCTATATTCATTTTGGCGTGACTCACAGTGCATTATGGGTCTTATGTTTATGTTATTTAGAGTACATTATGATGGATACTTTGCTTGTTACATATATGTGCAACATTTCCGCCATAAATAAATTATAAATGTTAGCTAGATTATGTGCATTACCTCTATAGCGATGTATATTTATGCTAAAATATAATAAAATAATGGTTTGTATTTTAAAAAAAACATCTATTCCGTGCATATTCATAGAACCGCGTATACTAAATGAGGCAAGGGTGTAGAGTTACATTCAAGCTATTTCAAGGCATGAAGACATTTTCTTCAAAGAAAAAATGCTTAAATGTCATTTTGGTGATCAAAGATGAGTTTTAAGGGATAAAATGACTGACTACAGGAGGACTTTAAGATAACTGACTCCCTGATCAGTGCCCTGACTACTGAACTCGGGAGCTGATTGAGACACAGCCACACTGTCTTGCAGAGTTCAGCTCCAACCCTAATGAAACACACCTGAACCAGCTAATCAAGCTCTTCGGGAACACTTGAAAATCACACTGGTGTGAGCTGAAGCATGTTGGATATAGACTTTGCAGGACAGTGTGGGTGTCCAGGAGCAGGGCTGAAGACTGTATCTGTTTCCCTCACACCAGAGAGCGCTCCCTGCTCCACTGACCTTAGCGAAGCGGCAGATGCGGAGGCCGTCCTCCCAGCGGGCGCTGCTGGTGTACTCGTGCAGTAAGGTCGGGTACGGGGACACTGCGGTGCACACCAGAGAGCCGTCCGCCCGTCTGACAGTCACCTGAGTGCCCACATAGCTCACGATCTGAGGAGAGCGACTTAACTCGCTGCAGAAGACAGGATTCATCAAACATCACACACAGTTTATGTGAAGTCTCCTAAAGTCTTCAATTACTACTGGGCTCCTAGAAATACACAAATCACCACTGGCTACGTTTACATCCACAACTTTTGTTTCAATCAGACTGAATTCTTTCTGATTGACGAATCTGAATGTAATGTTTACATGAACGCTGAACATGTGATTGATGTGCGGGTTTATATGTCACAAGCTTCAAATCGGAATATATTGTTTGACATGCGCACACTGCACAAATATACAGAGTTTCCCGCTGTTTGCACATAATAACCATTCTCCTACATTGGTTCTTTATTTGTTTTAAACAGCAGACTTAATATTGGTCTCTGGTCATAATTTGGAGACGATGAGCATGTGAACCGCTGTGCCGCTGCTTATATTTATCACGCAGTAAAAATGCCCAAAAACGTGGTCTGTGGATGAGAGTCTGAACTAGTGGGACGTCGTCCTGCTCCACTTCACAGACGCAGTGAAAGGAGAATTTTAGGATGACGGGACACTCATTGATATCATTAGACACTTTATTCAACAGGAAGAACAGCTCGTTCCGCGCGTCATTACGCTATTTCTACGCCATTGCACATGCATTGCGCAGTCGTTTCAGTTTCGGTTTTCAGTCTGATCAAGGGCCGGTTTCACAAAGCTATTTTAGACCGGTCTATAGTGTTATACAAGTCTAAAATGTGCTCATAGACTAGTCTAATGCAAGTTAGACTGTTTCACCAAAATAAAGACTGACTTAATTTAGACCAAAAAAATTAGACACTTTAACCCCAGGCTAGCTTAGGTCTAAGACTCTGTTACCATGGCAACCAACAGTAACAATCAGTTACATTACAAACAGCCGAAAGAAAAGGGAAAATGGCCCTTACCGTATATATCCATCACCATTTCAGTGGTGTCTAAGTTCCTCTTGGGGCCCTCCTCCCGTTTTTGGATATTTCCTCTTAAATATTTCTTTTTTGGCATCTTGTACCATGTTTTTGTATCTTTTCTGTACGTCTTTAACGCTCCGCTCAACGGTCTGATTAACGCTGTTAACTGTCGTACCAATCTTTGTCCAAATTAAACATTTCCTCTTGTTACTGCATTCTCCGCTAAATTTCCCCAGTAAAATGTCCTTGTGACTGTTGTACTCCTCCAACACACACATCTCCCGCTGGGGTAAACTGCACTGAGCGGGTGAATGCGCTTACTCGATCAGCCATGTTTTTTGTTTTGAAAAGTGTCTTATTTTACCCAGAATGCATTGCAGTGTAGTCCTACTTAAGATAGTCAGAGTCTGGTCTGATTTAGATGTCTATCTGAAGTCTGACTTTCTTCTATATCTAACCCATAGTCAAAGTCTATCTTTGTGAAACCGGCCCCATGTTTACATGTTCTCTGGATCGTATTAGAAAAGGAATAAACCACCCCGCTCAATCGGATCGATTAAGGTGTTGAACCGTCAATTCTAATGGATTATTTGGTTGCATGTAAACGTAGCCACTGACTGATGGTCATGACTGTGCATTTCAGATCTGAGTGAAGTTAGTTGTAGTGCGTGTACCTGCTGTCCTTGCTGAAGATGGTTTTGGGGAGCAGGTCTTTGTCCACAAACACCACACTAGGGTAATACCACACTGTGAACTGGTTGTCCTGGATTCCACACAGGATGTTAGCAGAGTCGTTCCAGGCCACAGTGTCAACCATTGAACCTGGGCAAGAATTACAAAGATTCAAATTAATCAACCCTTCATACAGATGCTTGACTGAATTCAGTGCGACTTCACCAGAGACAGACTGTCACAGCGTTTCCTTCGGGATTCTTACCGATCTTATAGATGCTGTGAGCTCGGCCCAGCTTTCTCACAGAGGTCAGGTAGAGGTCACGGTTCTTATCGATCAAAGCGATCCTTCTGTCATTAGACAGGCCACACTGATCCAGTGCGACTAACACCACCTCTATCTAAACAGAGAGACGAGCAGAGATATGTCACTTAAAGGGGGCCGATTAGGCAAAATTCACTTTTACATGGTGTTTGAACATAAATGTGTGTTGGCAGCGAGTGTACACAACCACCCTAAAAGGGTAAAAATCCACCCAAACTCTTTTTTTTTTAATCCCTATAAATTATAAGCAGTGTCTCAGAACAAGCCTTTTGCAGATTCTAACAGTGTGACATCACAAATTGCCTAGGCCCCGCCCACAACTGCTGACGGACTCTGCCCTATTAGCATAGACCCCGTATATATTGTATATAAACAAGTATACATTGGTTTTTAAGCATTAAGCATCCTTAGTACACACTCAACCCAGATTTACAGCGCATGCTCAGCTCGCAAATGCGATTTGTTTTTTGTGCACTAATTAATTGGCCCACAAGGTGGCGTCACTGGCTGGGGCCACTTTTTCACAGTCCAGAAAAAGAAACAAAAGAGACAGAACAATTAACTATTGGAGATGCAACAACTGGCCTACATCACACAAATATCACTCCACACACTAGACTCATCTCACATCGATACACATGTCTACTTAAGTCATGACATATCAAACACTGTTTCCAGGTGCAGGGAGAATACCATCTCAACAGCCATTTATGAACACTATTTGCTTAGAGCACACCTGTACGCCAACTCCTGGTGTACACCACTGTCTCTGGACACCAATATTTGAATGATTTCTAAAAGATGAGTCACTGTCTGGACATCTGGGATCTTTTTCAGTAGTACTACAGAACGTTGGTTGTTTGCTTTTAGCATCTAATGGAGCGTTTAGACCCAGATGCGATGATGCATGACATCAGACCTAACAAGCGGACTTGGTAAGACCATCAGCAGTTTAATTAGGTTTAATTGATACTTTATTTTGTGTATTTCTGCATTTCTCTCTATTTGGCTGACATTTTGGATGA